TAATGTCTTTCTATTTTTAGTAGAGACGGGGTGTCGCTCTTGCTCAGGCTGGTTTCGAACTCCTGAGCTCAAACGATCTGCCCACCTCGGCCTCCCAGAGTGCTAGGATTACAGGCGTGAGCCACCGCGCCCGGCCTTTAAAAGATTTTTAAAAAGTAAATCTACATCAGGGCATAGCATATCAAAACCTCTGAAAACTAAGACAAAGACTAAATTTTCAAAAGAGCAAAAATTAGGCTGGGCACAATGGCTCACCCCTGTAATCCTAGCACTTTGGGAGGCCGAGGTGGGAGGATCACTTAAGGCCAGGAGTTCGAGACCATTAAGAGCAAGAGTGAGACCCCCTCTCTACTAAAAATAGAAAAATTAGCTGGGCATGCTGGTGTGGGCCTGTAGTCCCAGCTGTTTGGGAGGATGAGGCAGGAGGATCGCTTGAGCCTAGGAATTTGAGGTTGCAGTGAGCAATGGTGACATAGTGAGACCCTGTCTGGAAAGAAAAAAAAAAAAGCAAATTTTGGTAACAGCTTACAAATGGAAGCCATAAGACAATGGAATATCTTCAAAGTATTGGGGGAAAAAACAGGGCAATCTAGATTTCTATACTCAGTGAAAATATCATTCAAAAATGAAACAAAAACATTTTTAGACAGACAAAACCTGACAGAATCCATCACCAGCAGACATACCCTAAAAGAAATACCAAGGATGTTCTAATGACAGGAAAAGGAAAATCATCACAGATAGAAACCTAGAGATGCAGGAAGGAAAAAAAAAAAAAAAAAAAGCAATAGAAAGGGTAAATATGTGAATAAATCTAAATGAATATTGGCTATATAAAGTGAGAATAACAACATTTTATAGATTTAAAAATATACACAAGGTTGGGCATGGTGGTTCACACCTATAATCTGAGCACTTTGGGAGGCCAAAGTGGGAAGATCACTTGAGGTCAGGAGTTCAAGACCAGCTTGAGCAACAGAGCGAGATCCCACCTCTACAAAAAAATTTAAAAATTAGCCAGGTGTGGTGGTGCACACCTGTAGTTCCAGCTACTGGGGAGGTTGAGGTGGGAGGATCACATGAGTCCAGGAGTTTGAGGTTACAGTGAGCTAGCTATGATGACACCACTATACTCTAGCCTGGACAACAAAGTGAGACCCAGTCTCTAAAAAAATTAAAAATATAAGCACATGAACTTAAAATACATTACAATAAGGGCGTATAAGCAGAGAGGGAGAAAGGTAGAGTGTTTTAAGGACCTTGCCTTGTCTGGGAAGAGGGCAAAAGACCAATTAACATGACAAGTTACAGATAAGTTACAGATACACATTATACTCTTTAGGGTAGTAAAAAAAGAGTAAAAGAGCATGTAACTTCTAAGCTAACAGAGTGGAAAGTCAATAAAATACTCATTATGAAAAAAGAGAGAGACTTTTGACAACAGCAAACCAGGCAATTTGGATCAACTCTCCCAGAGAACAACAAGAAAAGCAAGACAAAAAACATTTACGTGAAGGCGCTGAAGAGCTCCCAAGGCAGTGAAGGAGGGCAGGGCCAAAGGCCAGGAGAAGGGAAAGTAGAGGGGAAGGAATCCTCCCACCTGCTGTGCTGCCACATCAGCAGCTTCACCGTAAAGACACACAAAGAAGTAGATGGCAACAGCAGGCCCTCTCACAAGGAATACCAAGGAAAGATTCCAGAAAACACACTCAGGCCAAGTTTGCTTGAGAGATGTTGAATCAAAGAACGTCAGTGTCAAAAAATGAAACAGGAAAGGTTATAGTGAGGGGAGGAAAAAGAGGAGGGAGGCAAGGGAGAGAACCCATGATAAATCAGTTTTTAAGAAACATGTATATGCTCAATGGCTGCCAGTTCTCCCTCTGAAACATGCCCTGCACTGGCCCCTTCTCCCATCCCCACTGCCTCCTGCCCAGTGACCCTGACTCCTGTGACTCCCTCTTGCAGTCCACTCTAGTACTGCAGCGAAAGCGATGGAAACCAAAACCGCAGCAGTGCACACGGTAGTCTGTACAAAGTGAAGCTATGGCACAGGGATTTGCTCTTCACTAACATTTCACTCCCCTTGCCAAGGCCAATTTTTCCCCCAGGTTCTGCCCTAGATCAAGCCAATTTGTCAGTCCCACCAGTGCCCTAAAAGAGCTCATTTACTTCCTGGGCTCTTTTTTCCCAGAGAGGTCTTAACCATTCTGGTTTACTTAAGTATGATTCTTTTGATTCAGTCAATGACATTCATTGAGTCAGCTAATATGTATGAAGTTACCATTGTATCACGTGGTTATACTAGGCACTGTTCCTGTCTGTTGGAGGCTGGGTAGGAGAAGAGGAGGAAGTTAACACCATATGCCATAATAAAGGTTATGTATAGGCTTAACATAAAACAAAAACCTAGAATGAACTCAGGAGAAATTTGATGTTCTGAGCTAATACTACCTGGCTTTAGAGGGAAATACTCTTCCGAAAGTCATTCGAATCCACAAATACAAGAACTTTCTGGCCACGCATCTGAAAGAAGGAAAGAAAGGATATACACATTTTAAAACTCATTTGAGTTACATCATCAGTTTTTTGAAAAGGACAGGGAACCTTTAAGGTCCGAGGGGGAGGGATGCTAGTGTAAGTAAAAAGGTATCACAGCTAATACTGCACCAAACAGAGCATAGGATGGGACAAATTTATAAAGCTAAAATCAAGCAGATTATTATTATTTTTTGAGACAGGGTCTTGCTCTGTTGCCTGAGCTAGAGTTCAGGGGTGTCATCGTAGCTCACTGCAACTTCAAGCAATCCTCCTGTCTCCACCTCCCAAGTAGCTGGGACTACAGGTACACACCATCACACCTAGCCAATTTATATATTTTTTTTAGAGAAGGGGTCTCGCTCTTGCTCAGGCTGGTCTCGAACTCCTGGCCTCAAGTGATCCTCCCACCTTGGCCTTCCAAAGTGCTAGGATTACAGGCATGAGCCACTGTGCCCAGCCCAAGTAGACTATTTTTTTTTTTTTTTGAGACAGAATCTCACTCTTTTGCCCGGGCTAGAGTGAGTGCTGTGGCATCAGCCTAGCTCACAGCAACCTCAAACTCCTGGGCTCAAGCGATCTTTCTGCCTCAGCCTCCTGAGTAGCTGGGACTACAGGCATGTGCCACCATGCCTGGCTAATTTTTTGTATATATTTTTAGTTGTCTGAT